GAGTAGTTAGCAGCTGCATGTCCTAGTGCTCTAACTTTTTCACCTGTAATCGAAATTTGATTCCATAAGGTAAATCTATTTAAGTCAATATTTAAACTTGGGCTGATATCTTACACTTGTACTGCAATCAATAAACGACGTTATTATAACACTTCAAGAAGCTGAACTGACCTAGTTGATTGAATCCCTCTGCATAGCTTTTTTACAACTTCTTGCCTTATTGACTGAGAAGAAAACCTTAGTTCCTGAACATTATCGAGGTCCAAGTTACACGTGCTACAACACTGACATTTCAGAAAAAAATTAGAAAGAAAAAATAAAGAAAAGAGATCAAGCATACACGAAGTGCGCCTAGCTGGAATTCTGTAAATATTTGGTAAATATGCTCCTTCTTGGTCCAATTCTCCGATTTTGATTGACAAAATGTCTCAAGTTCCTTTATCCTATTTCTTGATTCTGTCAAAAGGCTCGTCGCCTCTTTCAACTTCTCTTCAAGCTCTTGTTGAGATTCTGTAGCCTTTTTTTCCATTTCTAAGGTGTGATGTTCGTACGATTTCTTAGCTATTTCCATTTCTTGCTTCAAAGCTGCGATTTCTTGCTTATGATCTTCCTTCTCTTTCAACTCATACGATTTCTTAGCTATTTCCATTTCTTGCTTCAAAGCTGCAATTTCTTGTCTATGATCTTCCTTCTCTTTCAATTCATATGATTTCTTAAATATTTCCATTTCTTGCTTCAAAGCTGTGATTTCTTTCTTATGATTTTCCTTCTCTTTCAATTCATACGATTTCTTAACTATTTCTAGTTCTTGCTTCAAAGCATGTCCGTTTAACGTTGCGGGTTGTATTTTTTTGAATTTTTTTGTCCGTCCGGGTTCGAGCTTAGCGGGCTGGACCGGGCTGTGCATTTTTTTTTAAAGTAAATTTTGTTTTTCTTATTCAATGTTATTGATACAAGTGTTTGCAAACTTTTAAGGCTTAGAATTAAACTTTGAAGTTTAAAGTTTTAAATTTGAAAGTTGAATTTTACAATTTTAAAATTGAAATTTGAAAGTAAGTGGCTACAAAAAATTATTTAATAAGACCAATAGGCAATATGTAAGGATCAAGCTCCGAAGACTTTCATTTGATATTTTTATTGAATAATATATAATACTTCAAATTAAGTTGCAAGTTCTTTTTGATTTTGTTATTTTTGAACTTGCAAATTAAAAGTTTACAACAATTATAAAAAAAAAAAAAGAAAAAGAAATAGTACATCACATGTTTTGCATCATTTTTGTAAGTTCATCCATGTCGACATGAGGTTCTTGATTTCCGGCATTGGTTGAATCAGAACCATACATCATTATATCTCCAATTTCTTGGTCCTCCGCTTCATCTACCTCGTCACGCCCTTGATTTCGCCGTTTTGATCTTATCTAATCTCTGAAGCATAGATTCAACAACTGAAGTATATCCTTCTTTCCTCTTCAAATTATGTAGTAAAAGAGAAATTTCAGCAATATGAACTAAACCATTTGCAATAGTAGGATAATTTACAATATTTGAAAGAAAAAAAAACCGTTAAAAAACGGGCTGAACCGGGTTGTAGCCCGTTAAAAATCCGTTAACGGGCTTAGCGGGTTCCGGTGCACCGGTATCAAAAAACTGTTCGTTTGAAACCCGCTCCCCGCCCAACCCGTCTCAGCCCGCCTCCCACGCTACAGTACCGGGCTGAACCGGGTTGTAAACGGGTCAGCCCGGCCCGATTAACAGGTATAGTTTGGATGGTTGTTACATATCGTTTCATAATATATCATATTGTATTGTTTTGATGAATACAGCGTTCGGATAGATTGTATTGTTTGTTATTGTTTATGATATCACACACCAACAATATGAATAATAAATATTTAATATTATAAAAAAGGTAAGGTACACAGTAAAATTATTATATAAAAATATAGAGTAAATGATAAAATATGACTATTTAATAATAAGGAGGCCAAATAGAGAAGAAAAGACAAGGTAACGATGCGACCGCACCAAATTAGTCGTTACATAAACTGACATTTTTTATACGACGAACTTAATAATACGATACAATAAAATTTAAGTAATAATCGAAATAAATATTATACTTACAATAATAATACGATACAATACGATAGATAACAATAAACAAGTTGTTATAGGAAGTAGTTAAATTCACAACACCATAAACTTTGGAAATAGACAATTCAAAAAACAAAATTCGTTAAATTTAAAGAAAAAACAAAATGAAAGGCACGGAGGGTAATTTAGGTGATTCAGTTGCCGGGTAGCTGAATTTATTAGCGCCGAAGAGGAAGTTGAGGCGAAAGAGAGAGAGAGATGGGGTGTCTTAGCGTTGTAGGAGCAAGTCCTTGCGTTTCTTCTTCTGCGCTATCTTCACCTACCAGCCGCTTATCCTGCGCACCCTCTTGCAAGCTTATCCTTAACCCCATCAAGAAGAATCACCATTTAGCTGCATTTCAACCTGCAGTTCATCTTTTTGCAAGTAACCAATCTCGTTCCCATGCCTCCAAAAGGAACCATACAACTCGTATATTCCTTCCCCACTTGGTTGCTTCCATGGTATGTTTATCTCTCTTCTAACCTGTATATTATTATGCATTTAGTTGAACTTTTGCTTACCCAATTGTATTGTTTAAATTTGGGGTGAATTTATTGTTTTTTCAGGAAGAAGTGGAGGAGACATATATTATGATTAAGCCTGATGGTGTTCAAAGAGGACTTGTATGCTCTTCACAATGTTCTTCTCTGTTTTAATTATGGATTGTTGAAACACTCAAAAAAAATGCATTCTTTTTTGAAGTCTTGTTTTAAGTTTTTCTGTGATGTCATTTCTTAATTGTAATAGGTTGGGGAGATTATT